AGTAATATTAATTTTTACGATGATTTTGAATGTGCCATTTGGACTATATAATTCTAATCAACTTGTAACTAGTATTGTACCTCGGCGGGACGTGTGTAACTACCCGACTTCCATAATTTCACAAATTTGCGTTTCCTCGATTGTAGCAAAAGAAAGTAAAACGCTCTCAAAATTTGTTACATATGTATAACAAATGACGTTACAAGATTTCAATGTTTCCAGTGTAAGTTAAAAACATTTAAGTGATGTCGCGCTGTAAGAAATTTCACTACTTTTTATCAATTCTGCTTTTCGTCCTTTAAATTTGCCTATGTTTCTGTACCTTGCACCTCGTATCAAAGTGTACAGTCCATCGCCCTGATTACTTCATTGAGTTGTGAAAGCAGTGATAACGGTGGTGAGTAATCAGTGACTTCAATTTTCTTGGTACATTCATTCCTCTGTCATCTCCTGTGCAATATCTGTACGTGTGTCAATCACGTAGTTACTTGGTAACTTGAAACAGTAGGAGTATTGTGATAACTGTTACAAAGGGATTTCAAAACTTGGATGACACTTTATATGAACAGAGATTTTCTTTGAAGAGCATTATCAAATTTCTTTGTAAAGTTTTTGAAGAAAATATATTGAATTCTTAGAAAGTTGAAAAGAAATCGTTGAAAAAAATTGCTGTGAAATATGAATAATTTGTTTTAGAATTTTCTTAGCAACTTGCGCATCTTACAAAATATAAACCTTAAATACCTTCTTGCCGTAGTGTAAGCGAGGGAACTGTCTGCTACACTCTAATGAACATCGAAACTCAGAAAAAGCCACTGTTGATTGAGTTTCCGGGCATGTCAACTCCTATGGTGCCATTAGGTAGAGAATCCGGGAAGTAACTGTTGTTTTCTTGAAACTTAATATTTCCAGGCGCTTCAGTTGTTATGGTCGTTAGTCCATATGTGTGGTGCATGTTTTATCACGATGTTCTTTCCCCGCTGAATGATGCGGTTCTGGGTGTTGGCTTGCGGGGTTTTCCTCCTGCTATCTCCCCCAGTTGGTGACCGCCCCCCCCCCGGCCAAGGCAAGCTCCGGGCTCCCGACGTGTGAGGTAGTGTAGTGCACGTAAGTGTAAGTGGTAAGGATAGGACAAGGAATAGGAGGGGAAGATCGCGCGCAGTCGGTCACCGTTTGTTAGGGTACTGCTACGGCATTCGCCTGGCGTTGTTTGGAGAAACTGCGGAAAATACTGATGAGAGCAACCTGCCACTCTAATTATCCTCCAGACAGCGGCTGAATTCGACCTATAGTAGCTAGTAGTGCCGTACAATATCATAGCTACGTAGCTAGTGTCCAAAATCCCTTCACGGTCGGGACTCGAACCTTAGGATTTCCAGTCAGAAGCTCTGCAATGACATCAGCTGATACCCTGAACGACCTCAATCGGTGCTTGTGCTTAAGATGCCACAGTCGGAAGGCGGTGTGTCCTCCTATACACATAACGTCTGTCAAAAATGCCCCCGTGCGTCTATTTTTTTTTTTATTATCCGCGCGCGTTTTCTTGAGCCCTCATTTCACAAGAAGTGAGAATTGAGGGTGGTTTAATTATTTCGTCGACAGAACTGTTATATTAAATTCGTTGCTCGTTTTTCAATGCAAAATACACGGAAGCGATCATTTCTGGATATCAGATTGTGACAACAACGCTCCTTGCTATAATTTATGCTGAATTCAGGTAGGGCTCAAGAAAACGTGCGCATATAAAAATACACTAAGCTCCCACAAAGGCAGTTCACGGCCAGCGAAAGTTTTTGTGTGGGAAGCGCCGCCAATCGTCGCCACCTCCGTGCCCCTGTTAAGTTATCGTGGTCGGCCAGTTGCGCATCCAGGGGTGGGGCACGACACCACCCAAAAGACCTAGAGAAAAATGTTTGTTACCTTTTTTATTTGCTAAAATTTATTTATGTTAGAAGTATGTAATTATTAAAAATATTATTGTAGAGTTTCATATATACTCCAAAAATGTACAATATAATAACAAACATGTTCATTGTTTAACAAAAATCTATGATACCCCCCCCCCCCCAAATGATCGGCTGGAACCGCCCCTGTGGCGGGGGATTACGAAAAACTATGCAAATCATAGAGAAATCGACCTGTTACATCTTATCACAGAGATAGTGCTAGCGTTCTGAATCGAGAATTTAGAAATTCTTTGACAGAGGTTTCCCCAATAGCCAATAGTTTTACTTTCTCGCATGTTACTAGGTAGTATAAAGAACGCTATGCAATGATTCAGTCGAAAAGTGCAACTTTTCGACCAAATAAACTCATTTTGCGTGCCCTGATACCGAAAAAGATTTTTCTTATTCCTAAAGGTACCGTCATCACGGGCAATTTAGACCTTTAGGGTACTACTTGAACCCACGCTAAAGAAAAGGTTTCAGTGGTTGAAGCCACTTATACCGAGATATTAAAAAGCAGTTGAATTGTGTAAATTGGACTTTTTTTAATTTCTTTGTTAATTTTTCTTTCTGAACAAATATATTCATTTCTTTTGTAAATAATAAATAATTTTACAAGTTTCTGGGGTGTTTCTAAGCTTTTACAATGCAAATTTTTGCCTAGCAAGCATTTCACAAACCAACTTTTGAATGCTTATTGCGGCTCAACTATTCGGAATATCACGTAGTTTATGAGACATAATATGCTTAAAATTGTCTTTAGAGATAATTTTCAGAGTTTCGACGTTTCCTCTCCGGACATCCTGTGTATTATCAAACTACTTACGAGCATTTTACATTAAGCCGTTAGTGTATAGAAAAAAAAATCAAACATATTTCTTTAGTTTGTCATGGATTAGTAAAGAAAAAACTATGAAAGAATTGAAAAATTTCAAGTATCCCGTGTTTACGGTATTAAATTAATTTCTCTACTACGTTCGGTAGTCCACGTTTTGTCAGTACACCGAAAAATCGTTTCACGGCAGAAGGTGCCTTATTTGTAGATCCGTTTTTGATGATCGAATTTCATTATGAAAACTATGTTTGTCTTCATAATTGTAGTTGTAGGAAGACGCCGAAAAATGTTGAAATTTTGCAATTTTCAAAACTCAGGATTTTCAACGAAGATGATACCTGCAATATTCTTTTAAACGTCTTATACGCTACTCGAGCTCAAAATTTAATAAAAGTAGTTGGTTCCGTTTTTGAGAAAAGATGTTTGAACAAAATTAAAAATTACCTTTATTTCTCGCCTAATTACGCGAAAAGTACTGAGATATTCGCAAATTTGTACATAACGTTATTTCAAAACCTGTCTTTAAGGAACAAATTCCTTGAAGAATAAAATATCTATCAATAATATTTTAGTCGTAGGAAGACGCCGAAAAAATTTTGAACTTTTTCAATTTTCGAAAAATAAGTGATTTTAATGAAAATCGAACCTTCACCATTCTGTCAAGCGTTTATTACGCAATCCGACAAAATTTAATGACCAATTTGGTGCCTTTTTGTTTTTGAAAATGTCCCAGGGGCTTCATTCATGTAAAGCACCTCTCAAAATGAAAATATCGGTTTCATTTACAAGGGACCGTGACGCAGTCAGATCGAATGTGAAATGTCAGTTTTGGAGAAAATCGGCTGATCAGTATTTTGTGCACAGACAGATGGACGGACTGACGTTTTTCCGTCAATCGATTTTTCGGCATCAAGGATCTACAAAACATGGATTCTGGCTACACCATGGATTATTTTTCTAAATCTAGCAACTGGATTTATACACTTTTTCCTTACCATGGCCCGGTAATAAAGAGTTTTTGTGTCGAAAATTCGCCGTTTTTTCCTGCAGCATACATAACTATTTCAAATGTGAAGCTACAATCTTTCAGAAGCGTTCCTTTGACGTATGTGGAATTCAACGTACAAAATTTCATCAAAATTCAAGATAGCCTCATTGGTCACTTCTCCAAAATTAGATTTGACATGGAAAGAGCAATGGACTACGTTATTGGAAATATATAATAATCATAAAATGTAAAATAACAGGTTGCCTTTCCCGACAAGTGACGAAACGTACTTTTTCCTATTAAATATAAGGTATGTATTCTATTTCTGTTTTGGGGATCTGGTATCCCTAGTTACCTTTAGTCTCTAATCCCTCTGTTTTGAAGTCCATTTCCAAATCTTTAAACCATCTCAAACCTGGTCTCTCATTCTTTCTTTCCTTTTTGTTCACCAGAGAAGACCATTTTTGTTGAAATGACGAAAAAGTTCAGTAGTTGCGATCAGTGATACAGACAATTTCTAAGAAATTAATCTTTATTTTTTGAAGAAAAATAAGCTGAAAATTCTTCGTAAAATTTTGCTAGAACAATATTTGCCAAGACACAACCTATTAGTACTACACTACATCACTACATTGTTTTTGTTTAAATTGTGATTAAATAAAATATTAGTTTTCATAAAGGAAGGAAACAATGAAGTGAGAATAATCTGTGGAAACTCAACTCTTCTTCACGGAAGCGACAGCCAATTGTTTGTAAATAACATACTTTTGTCACTACATAGATTATGGGACAATACGTGGCATGAAGATAGAAAGTGTGCCAACGGAAGTTTTGTTTTATCATTAAGAATACGGTAAACTCAACTCGGCAACCAAGTGTTGGACGTGTAAGTAGAATGATGTGATGCGCTTGAATTTCAAGCCATGATCATGAGTAGTATCGATTGCTGGATGGGACTATATCCAATGTCTTTCCTTACTGTCTTTGAAATGTTATTTTAATTCTTAGTACATATATAAAACAATAAAGTGAAGTATTTCTGAAATTTCACTTGGCGCCAAGTGCAATATTTATTTTCTGGAAAAAGATTCTTGCAAAACAATGTTTGAATTTAAGATGAGTTTAAAACGGAAATGAACACGCATGAAAAAATATCTACTTAAACTACATGAAATGATGTTGAATAAATGAATTAGAATTTAGCCACTTAGTTTTAATATTGCAAGTGTTCTTCTTTTGTTTCGTTGACGCCCATAATTGCAGTGATCCCGCTTTCCGCAATTTCGAAAACGTCACCACCATCATACAGTTATGTCATTCCACTTCCGTTTGGATATTCTTTAAAATTTATATGTTGTGTCCCTTTTCGTCATATCTAGCACTGAGAATTTGATTGATATAGAAAATTTTATTGTCGCTTAATGGGGAAGTCCATGTACTGTGTTTAAAGTAAATTAACTGTTTGAAAATTATAGTTGGTACTGTTGGTTGCCTGTGCCCGCCGGCCGATCGCTCGACCACTGAAGGCGTGTTTTCTGGTCAGTTTGCGACGATCTGTTATCAGTTGGTGGTCAAGAGCTTGCAACAATGAATATGAAGGTTTGTTCGCAGAACGTAGTAGTGTTGATTGTTTCCAGACTTTTAGCAGTGTAAGTAATTTGTTTGGAATGATTTGTTAAAATTTCAGGAGCAGAATCAAAATGCGAGCATGACGTCGCGAATTGCCGCCTTGAAGGAATCATTGAATGAGGCACTTCACAATCCGGAATATCAATGGACTCCCGTAATGGCTTGGGCAGAAAACAAAACAGGAGTGAACAGGCTGTATCTATTTTTGGGTAAGGTTCCTTGAAATCATTTGTCTATTGTGCCTTTTGGAATTGTATTGAGTTGTATTATCATTTTTGTATTTCTTTCAGGCTTTGTGGTCTTTATGGCTTTATACTTGGTTTTTGGCTATGCTGGCCAGCTGATAAGTAATGTTGTTGGATTCATGTATCCTGCGTACCGATCAATGAAAGCACTTGAAACACCTACTAAGGATGATGATGTTAAATGGTTGACTTACTGGGTTGTGTTTGCTTTCTTCTCAACATTTGAGTACTTTTCAGATATCTTGCTTTATTGGATCCCATTTTATTGGCTATTTAAGGTAAGAAATGTAATGGTTTCATTGAATTTCAATTGAATTGACATGATTTTTTAAGAGAAAGGGCAAATTGTTTGATGCATTTTTAAAAATAACTTTTTTTAAACCTCATTCTTTTGCTAGGAATGCAATTCCAAGTTTACAGATGGCACCTGAAACTATCTGTAAACTTCAGATGTACCTATAATAGAGTTGAATATAATGCAAATGCTGAGTTCCGTTGTGGAAAAATTACTTTGGTTGATATTCTCATAAGAAAATTTCGCAGATTCTCATGTGCTTTCTTATAATTAGATGTGCCTTTTATAAGCATTGTTTTGAATAGGTCTACTAGAACTTTATGAATAGTGTAAGATGGAATTATTAAGGAAAGAAGAGGATTATTGTATTCTTCCATTAAAGGCTAATTTAGCTTATTGGAAAATGGAGGTTCCCATTCTGACAGAATGAGAAAGTCCAAAAACCTCTTAAAATTTACAGACTTTGGCAAACCAACATTAAAACATGCCAATAATGCAGATATTTTTGTTTCAAATAACACACTAAAGAAAGCTCTGGTCTCCAAATGTCTGGCTTTGGCATTTTGAAGGCCATCCAAAATACCTTGCATTTGGTGTCAGTTGAAATAAAAAGTATAATTTTTAACTGACACAGCTGAAATAGAGGGAACTTCAGTTATAACTGCATATATTTGTGCAAATTCAGACTTGCAGTATAGAGTTGGCTGTCCATTGCCACTAATTTTCAAAATCCTCTTAAACTTTAGATTACCATTTAGATTAGGTTTTTTCCTTGCACTAGCTTGTGTACCAATAGAATTGCCTTTGGGTACTATCGTCTAAGAACTCCTGCTCTAGGATTATGTTGCTTAACTATTACAATTAATTGTATTTGATTAATAATAAAGAGAAACTAATTTTGATCAATTAGCTGAAAAGTAACAATAAATAAGAGCTATTCTAAATTAGGGTAGCCAAACATTTGACTATTATATTCTACACATAAAGGAGAGTAATGTTGAGTGTGAAAAAATTAATGTAAAACCATCTTTTTTAACGATATTGAAACAATGTGAATTATAGTAAAAAAAGGAGAAATATTGCTTTTTTTAATTTATTTATTTATTTATTTATAAACATTGTACAAAGAGAAAAAATGCTTTGAATTATGGCATTACTGCAAATCAACCTCCTTGACTGACAATTCTCTCAAGGAAGGATTTTGTAATGAATTTAAATGTGTTATTTAACTTTATTTTAAATGCTATTCTTATGAGTATTTTGTAAATTTAATAAATTGTGAAGTCTATTGAATTAAAAAAAAGTTAAAATCTTCATTGTTTCATGGTTTCTTTGAATTATCTAATGGAACAAAAAGCATTCAATTAATCAATAATATAATTCCAATTAATCTAATATTAATATTTTTGATTAATTGTTGCCAGAACTACTTTCTAAAATATTGGTATATGAGAGTTTAGTTTCAGTGCTCAATGTGAACATTTTTATCATTGAAAGTAGGAGTTAAACTTCAAGAATAAAGTGGTTACTTATTTTCACACCATATTGAACATGTAGAACAATGATAATGATTATTGGTGCCAGGTACATGGAGGAAAGGACTAATTTCTGTCGTAATGATGTAATGAAACTGGAGGGTGGTTAAAGGAAGGACAAAAAAAAATGGAATGAATTTGAGGTTTCTGTTTTTCAGGATTTGGCTTAAATTAGTGGACTGTAATTCATAGGCCTTATCCATTTCTTTGTTTTATTGTGTGTTCTTATATTTTGGTATAATTAGCTTTTGGGGCAGTAATGGATCCAGAGGAGTACTGGAGAACATAAATGCACATCCATTTTGTGATAGTGATAAAAAGTTTACAATACTGCATAATATCATCTCCTGGAGTCTTTGGGAAGCTTTAGAAACTACATTGCTCTCTTGCTCAAATAAAGTTGATATTCTTAGCATTTTAAAAAGCAGGAAATCGTGAGAAATGTGATCGATCACAAATGATTCTAACATGGCCAAAATATTGTTTTAAGGGTAAGTTTAAGAACTGGGTCTGAAATACATATTTTTTGTATGCCAATGTACATGGTTTAAAAGTTATTAGGTATTGAATCTTTAACGTTGATTAACTGGTCATCTCCATTGATGGCCAGTTTTTGTGGAATCGATTAATTTTTCCATAAGGCCTATGTAAATATGCCCTTCTTTCCCACCTGACTAAGTGGCCTGTAGCCAGGCACATTTCGTAGTTCAACCTTTACAAGTAACTACCTTGAGCAATTTGTACTCCCATGTAATAAAAAAGGAGGAAAGTGGCGGAGAGGTTCGTTGATTGAGTACCTTTCTCCAAAGAGATGCTTTGTCAGATTACTTCAAAAGTGACATCCAGAGCAGCTATTCTCACATGGAGGTCAAGGGTGTGTTCTGATATTAGCTTAGACGAGGCAGATGATCCTAAAAACTAATTGAAATTGTATTTTATCATTTATGATCATTAAAATGTTAAATATTAGTTTCATAGCAATTCATACAGTCAAGATATGATTTAAACTTAAGAAACTTCATTACCTTGATGAAGTGTCCACTTTTCTTCGCCAATTTTTGCCAGAATCATTAGCGCCTGTTAAATTATTATTTTTAGCAATACAGTAATTGTTTTTAATCATTTCATTATGTTCTTGCAATGACATCCTTTTTTTTCCACTTTTTTAGTGTTTGTTCTACATTTGGTGCTTTGTACCACTGGATAGTAATGGCTCATTGGTTATTTACCATCGTCTAATACGCCCAAGATTTTTGCGACATCAGCAACAAGTTGACAATGTTCTGGATCTTGCAGATACAGGTATGAGATTGTCTTTATCAACTTACGAAGGGAGCATTGATAGCCCTTGTCAGCTCTTGATTAAGATTGTTGGGCACTAGTAATGATTTTGAGGGTGACGGTCATATACAAATACTCAGTATTATGAGAAAATCTGGGATGCTTGTATTGCTGGGGAAAATCATGAAGTTGTTAGGATGTATTGTTAATTGTTTCTCTCCCATTTCTTTTGGGAATATTTATCAGAAAGATCAAGAGATGAGAAGCAAAAGCCTCAATTTTATGTTTACATTTACGTACAGAACCCCTCTTTTACTCTTCTCAAAGGACCAAAAAAAGTTGTGTAAATTGCAGGACAATGTAAACAAATGGAAATCCTTTGGCACATGTAAAACAAAACAAACCAAAAAAAAAAAAATTACCAACCTCTTGTATTACTAGTATTTATAATCAGTATTTTTTTATACTTCTTGCGTTTTCCACAAATCAAGCATAAAACTATGTCACAATCTTCTGAAGAAATATATTTATTTTATTGTGTTTCTTTTCAACAAAACTACCTTTTGCACAAGCAAGCACATACTCGCCATCATATGTCATTATATTCAAAATCACTACTGCTTCTTTGCACTGATCATTCTCTCCACAGACACTGTTTGCACATTCTCCAAGTTCATAATACAATGAAGGAAATCTTTAACTTAATTCTTTTGCAACTTTCTCCCACGCAGAAAAAAAGAAACTTATCTCTTGTTTCTCTTCTCACTTACATTTCCTTATGCGTTTGGATGAAGCCTGCCTCCACAAATCAAGCATAAAACTATGTCACAATCTTCTGAAGAAATATATTTATTTTATTGTGTTTCTTTCACAAAACTACTTTTGCAGCAAGCAAGCACATCACTCGCCACTCCATTTCAATTATCATCAAAATCACTAACTGCTTCTTTCACGATCATTCCCACAGGGACACTGTTTGTCAACATCTCAGTTCATAATCAAACATGAAGGAAATCTTTTAATTAATCATTTTCACTTCTCACGCAGAGAAAAAAGAACACTTATCTCCTTTCTCTTCTTCACTTACATTTTCCTTATGCTTTGATGAAGGCTGCCTCCTCAACCTAATAATCTGTACAATATTTTTTCTGTAGTAGGTCTTGAAAGCATGGGTTATTCCTCATACCATTGGCTTCAGCTTGCTAGAGCAGTTTGCTGGCAAGAATTTAATTCTAATATTTCTCAAGTAAATTGTTTGGATGAGCAGTGCACTGATCAATAAATAAAATAATTATTCTGTTCTGCAGTCCCATATTTACGTAGAGCATATATTTGCCATTCCAAAAGGACAGAGGTCATCCAAGCTTTTTTATTAGCCTTTTTTGTGTGAAATGTTTTCACGGTCTTAAAGAATCAAAGTTTCTTGTAGCTTTTTAAATCTAGAGCATTGGATTCAGTATACCGAGGCCTACAAATCAAAATTTAGTTTGCCTACGTAATATGTTGTATTTTTTCTAATTTCGCAGAGTAATTTCGTAAAGAAAAAGTCACAGCTTTAATTTCACAACATACACAACAGTGTAGTTACTTTCTGTAAAATATCAGTGATACGAACTAGCTTATCACACAAATATTACTCTCCCGAAAATTGTAATTTTGGATTTTTTCTTTCTCTCCCTCCACCAAATTTTAACTGTAATACTTCTGTTGGGTCAGATAAAAAAAATTAAGTTTGTACTAGTGAAAGATTGCTATGATAAAATTCTGCAGTATAAATTCTTTCTTTGAGATTTAGCTCAAGGTAGTTTTAAAAATTGTAAATGAAGTAAAAATAGTTTCTTTTTCTATGTTCTTTCATCACTATACTGTTGTGTTTACAAGCACAGAAAAAATTACGGCTGTGACTATTACTTTTTTGTAAAAGTACTCTTCAAAAATTGAAATTTGTTCATTCGCGTTTGATATTACCTGAATGAAAACGTTTTTGGTAGGTGGGTAACACTTTGTTGTCCAATTGAATGCATTTTTATTTAAAAAGGTATAACAATCCTGTGCTAAGAGTAATTTAGAAAATGTAAAGGATTTTGTGCAACAAAAATGTACAGTAATTTATGTACTAAGTAAGAAGTATTTTTCAGAGATAGTGAAGTATTTAATTCTGAAATACTTGAAATGGATTCACCCAGCAATTATCATAATTGTATTTGTATATAGCATTTTATGTTTAATGTTGTACCACATAGTTGTATAGAGCATCACACTTGTATGGTGATAAGTTTTCCCTCCTTCTGTCAAATGTGCTTCTGGAAGTTGTGAAGGTGTATTAAAATATTCTATGGCATTGAAACAATATAGTCTCGTATTGTGTTATTTTTCCAAGACGGGAGTAGAAGTCTATGCATTAAACAAAAAGGCCCGGTACCTGCATAGTTGGAAAGGAGATTTGAAGTTGTGTTGCTTTGGGCAATGGCGGATTCATCCAATCAGGAGCTGAAACGTCACTATGGTGATGTTCAAGCTCCTGATTAGCTGATACTTGGCAGGGGCAGAGTCACGAAAATAGCAGTTTACTCTGCTGGTGGCCGCAAGGCAGTCAACATCAGCACACCTGAAAGGTCTGGTATAAGGGCTGCAATTTAGAGCTGGGTTCTGCTGGCGCTGTATGAAGGGGGCCTTCGTCATTAGGGTCCCTTCACATGGAACCACTCAGCAGTGCTTCCAAAATAGTGCTGGCAAAGCGTTGGCTTATTTGAGAGTTTTCACCTCATAGCAACACAATGACTTAGTGGGCTCTACTGCCACCGGCAGTGCGGATGCACATATGCTTGCCAGCAGAGCAGTTCTAAAAGGCAGCTTTCACACAAGGCCACTTGGATGCGCCACTGAACTTTTCTGTTTAGGCCACCTTCATACAGGGTCACTTGGTGGCACCACCAAGGCGCGCCATCCAAATGCAAATCATCATTTTTCAAATTATTGCATTTCAAAATTGTAACACATTTACAATGACCATAATCGAGTGACTCGGCCTCTTGAGGAAGGGGGTAGGGGGCAGATGAGTCAAAGAACGTGGACACTGAGACTGAGCTTTTGTAACTAGAGTAAGACAAATGATTTCAGTTGTATTCAAAGTGAATGAGGGGCATTGTGTGAGAATTTCCTTACGCCATAGATGGGGAGGGGGGCACAAACCTTGCACAAGAACAATTTTACAAGCATTGAGGTGATTACGAAGGGGTACCATGGAGAAATATGTAAGGATACGGATCCACCTGATGTTAATGGTGTAACAAGATGCTGTTCACCACCTCTAAAGAACAGTGGTGGGTATTGTGAGAAGTTGTGCTAGTTCTTTAGATGTCACAGAGAATAGGAAACTAACCACTACCAGGAAGTTTGTGCCGTTCTGTAGCACCAGTTGGTTATTTTTATGTACGTTTCTTAATTTTTTCCAGAAGTGCATTTACTAATTTTTTTCTAGTATATGATATATTCTTACTCGTGCATTTTCTTTGTTGCAGTTAAATCAACAGCATATAAAGGTAAAAAACAACTTATTTTCTGCTAAATTTTAGATTATATTTTATTATTTCATGAAGATCATGTGACACAGTAGTAACAATACGTATACATTTAAGAGGGTGGCAACTTTCTGGAAAATCTGAGTATTGCATTGCTGTAGAAAAGTAAGGAAAAATTGAGCTTGTGGAAAATAATTATTAATTCTTGTTGCATTTTTTCTTTTTAATTTTTGGCAATTTTTTGCTTTTATTCCTTATAATATTAGTTCTTTATTTAAAATTCTTCAAAGAAATATATTAAACACTTGATAAGAAAGTTAGTATTATTATCTAAAATCTAGAGGTCTGTTTACAATAATTATATTTTTCAACATTATTTTTAAGATTCGCTTTTGTAAATTTGCATATTGTGTATTAAATTGCCATATATTTCTCCTTAAGCAAGTGTGAAATAATTGCATATGCTATGAAAGAGGAATTTGAGTAATGTATTGTCCATTTCAGTTTTTGAGTGCTTTATTTTACCTAGCTTAGAAAGGCGAATAGTAAATGATGATTTCTTCTTTTATCATACTCCATGTGTCCCTTGTATGACAATCAAAATGGTAAAGGAAAGGTATTTGATGAGTATATTTAGATAACCATCATACTTTTGTCTGTATCCTTCCAAATGTTTCTCTGAACTAGTATGACAATGGGGTCAGCGTATGAGTCTATTGAATCTTCTGGCAGGACTCTTATACAAATGTTCAAATATAAAATAACTAATTCTAAAATTGATTCATGAGGGACACTAGCAATTACAGTTAAACACCATTTTACGTTTCCGCAATTTACGTTTTCCCGGCATTTGCAATCATTTCTTGTCGGTTCCATCAGTTTTCGTGTATTCATAATGTTATAACTTCCCCGCATTTACGATAGTATATCTTTAATTTTCCCGCAATGTAAAATTGCTTGCCACACCATCTGTAATGCACTTCACGTTGCAGCGACAGTGCCTTTTGTGTGAAATTTCCCATCTTCTGGCGTCAAAAATGGCCATATCGGAGACGCTTGAAATTGTGCTATATTATAGAGAGAAGACTAGACGATTTAAATACAGAGACAATCATTATTGAGCAGCTAGGCCTACACAAATTTTCAGTTCATGACATTGCAGAGATATTTAAAAAGGTGGTAAAAATTACCAACGTGCATTGGTAGAAGTTGATGCACGTCAACTACCACTGACGAGGCCAGCTGCTTCGATGCCTGCGCACGCGAGTCACTTATCGTGCGTGGTACTCACTTCACACTCTTATGTGAAACGACATACAAACACTCTTGGCGACGTGCGTTGTTAACAACACTCGTCGCCTAGCGGGCATCGCGCGTGGAAAGCGAGAAAACGCACTTTATCTTACGCTGTAGCTTAAGTTGTGGCCACAACGGACGTCAAGAGCCCTCGTGTGCAGTTTCGCATAAGATCATGGATAATCTACGACGTGCGTGATGTGACACGTGTACCGGCAACGACATAACTGACGTCATCGTTAGGTGTCGCGCTTCAATGCAACCCTAATGTGACACGGGCCGAAGAGATGTAGCCCTGCGCTCATTTGTTTATTTTACATCCCCTCCTTCACAATTCCACTCTTCCTCGTTCTAAAATGTAATTTTTTCCCACCCTTAATAGCTCAAACATCAAAGTATGGAATTCTCTGTATGTTTGAAGTGTAAATTAGTTTCATGAACCTTCTTTGTATTATCTCATAAATATATTTTAAAAAAATACTGGTTGGAAATCATTACATACTGCCAAAAAATAACATTGTATTGAGTTGGGAAAATGTAAACTTCATATTTTTTTCTTACAGTAGAAATACCATCCCCCCCCCTTATCCAACAATGGGTATATCGTTGCATCATCAAAAGCTACTATCCAGTGGATGGCAGGGACTTGAAATGTTGCGAGCACAGTTTAAAATCCACTAAGCTTAAAGTTTCCAATGTAAATTTCTGTCAATTTCAATTTGACTTTTTAATATTGTTTATTATGTATCTAATATTGAATATAGGTTAGGTATGTATCTAAAAATAATCTACTGCCCTCAGTTTCAGAGAAAATAATAATTTCTCTTTATCTACACTTCCCGCAATTTACACCTTTTTCCCAAAGGTTCCATGAAAATTTGAAAAGGGACCCCTCCCTTTTCCGGTTACCGGGATCCGGGTTACCGATTATCTGATTTGTGCGCTTTGTTAGGTTGAGAACATTAACAGCTGGAGTTGATGTCTGGACTAAACCAGGGCTTCTCAAATGAAACATTTAGTACTAGAATGCCTTTGGGCACAAGGAGCACTGGCCCCTGTTCTAACTCCATGCCTCCTTTCCCGTCATTTCCCCTCTATTAGCAATATGAGCATGACCACCATCTTTCCCATCCTCTGACTCGCTTAACAAGCAGCAGCCCAAATTGTTTGCTTGTGAATAAACACTGTAAAGTGGGCCTAGAGCAGCCCTGAACTAGAATAAAATTTAAATTAATATTTTTCTAGCAGTTGTCAACAGTAATTTTTTTCTCTTTGCAGTTGTGTGTGTTTGGTAATGAGCAAGAAATAAAAAGAAAAGAAAGACCTTGAATATTTAGAAGTGGACTAAATATGAAATTTCATAATTGATCCATGTTAAAATTTAATTTAAATCATTTTGTTGTACTTATCATTAAATAATATGTTGTTTTTTGTTGTTTTTTTTTTTACAGCTGCGGGCTTAGCAACCCAAGAATTTTTGAAAAAGGACAGTTAAATGTGAAGATTCAACATTGCTCCGCATCCCATTACGTACTGATCATAGAATTAACATTTAAATAGGTTCTTATATTGTTTTCTGAGGTGTTAAAACTGTGGTTTTTGGCATTGCCGAAAATGTTTACTTCTCAATTTTTGTAAATGTAATAAATCAACATAGGAATGGGTCTTGAATAATTGATATGTGGCTCAATAAAGCTGAAGGAACTCGAGCATTAAACTGACTTGAGGTCATTTCATGCAATTCTAAATTACTTTAATATCCCCTGAAGTATGAGATCGATGTTATAAGTTGAAGATTAATAAAATTATATTTGATAGGAATAGTGAGGTGTGTTTTGCACCACTAAAAAATCATTTTAGGGGGAGTTATAAAGCAGTTTCAAATTTAAAGGTTTCATGCTCCAAATGTTCAAATCTTTACAGATGATCATTGTACGTTTATTATGAATTAACATGCGTACGTTATCTGTGATATATTTGTAAACATGCATGTAATAGATGGTAAGCTGAAGATTCTGTAGTTAATGCGTCTACTGGAGTAAAATTTATCTGAAATCTTAGAAATTATAAATATTTTATTCCACGTAATCTGCGCTGCTTCACACTGAAGTCCCACACTAGTAGAAAATTATGCAATAGCTTTAAAGTTGTCAGATACCTCTGGATAAATTTAATTGGTGACCGCATGTCAGTCTGTTTGAGAGCTGCTGATAGAAGGGAGTTGATCTGAGAACATTTTTGTATGAACAATAGTTTTTCTCTCTGAAATGGCTTTGATGTGTTCTATTTACCACATAATCAACTTGGGCATTTTGATTCTTTGTCAATAGTGTGATGCATTAGTGTGTATCTTATTGTATCTTAATGTTTAACTTCTTAAGAAACCCACCTACATTTTCCCTTTCAGTTAATTGTTAAAATTTTTGTTTCTATGGTTAATGTAGGTTCAATGATAATTGGAAATAAATTTTACCAAGTGGAGAAAAAGTTGATGATTAGGTTATTTCTCTTAGATCTTGTTAAGTTCAAGTTGAAGTTACTTTTTATTTAGATGTTTTGTATTTGCTCATTTTTTTTCTTTTTGCAATCGATAATTTGTACATAGGAATGTTCCAATTGTTTTTACTTCAATATTGTTAAATACAATTTTAGAATGTTTAAGAATTAATATTTTTTGTACTGTTCCATTGAATTAAAACAAAATCACAGCACAAGTAAAATTTATTAAAAGATTATTAAAGTTGAAATAATAAATTATCAGTAATTAGTAAGAAATTGGATTGTTTATGATGAGTTCAAGAAAAGAATGAATTTGAGAACTTGATGTTAGTGTTGGTTTGGCTAAGCTGTGGTTATTTGCTAAAATAATTGAAATTGTAAATCCATGAAACTGGTCCAAAAGGAAAGGGAGAAAGAAAAAAAAACTCATAAATGTTCAGTATTACATCTATTTTATTGTTGCAAGATTCCAGTGTTAATTTGTTGCATTGTAGTTTTGGTATTGGAACTATTCATGTTTTGAGAGTTGTAGTTACTGTTATGAGTGGTGTTGATTTGCTACTATTCTGGTGCATTCAGATTTGTGATATTCTGAATTGGTACAACACATGACATTGTATTAAGTATATTTTGCCTATAATTTGTTTTTCTTTAGTGGATTGAGATATGTACTGCTGGTATTTTTATATGAGTAATAAATTATTTTAAGCAGACAAAAGTTCATTAATGAAATAGTGAAAACTGATATATTCTACCCTAAAGATGAACAACCCCATGTGAAGGAAAGTTATTAAATAAAAAATGCGTAAAATTCTGGTAATTTGTCGACGTACTTTTGACAGCTATGTTCCTTACCCATTTCGCGCTTACGTCGACAAATTACTGTCTACCTTGCAAGTGACGCAATCTTCGTATGTGATTGTTGTGTTTCGTTTGTTTTATTTCTCAAGACTTGGCCATGTGGTTTAACAAACTTTTTGTAATTAGTCCAATTAATTCGAAATTATTGTGAAAAAATATTAAACAAATATTTTAATTCAATAAAAATCAAGTTTGACAGACTTCCCAACTTATGTATGTTCCGTGGTAGAATGTTCTCGTATTCTCCCTGAAAAGGTCTACGACTTCGCGTACTACCTATCAGGAAAAGGTGTTATTCTGTTGTTTCTCTCCGTTGCTGCAAGTGGGTTACAACTAAAAGTTGCGGTTTTCCCCGCATTGATCTCAGTACTTGACAATTGGTGTCCAAGACTGACATATCAATGACTCGTAAGTATTTTTATAAATGTATTTAAAGTTGTTTGTGATTATTTAAGCATTTTTATCGTTCTAGTCGTTTGTTGGAAGTTTTGACGTTGATGCTAACATTTTTCGAATTTCTCATATCCTTGTCAGTCGGAATTGTTCCTAATGAGATAATACGATATAATTTTTGTAATGATTAAGATAACTTTTGGCTGATTAGAAACGATCACTCGGAAACTTCACTACCGTCGTAGTCAACATCAAAACAACATATTCCGTTAGGCTTCCGTTCCTTTTAAATGGAACTAAATGTTTTGTATACGTGTTTTGTTGAACATTTATTGTGTAAACAATCACCGAAGATATTAAATACTTTATTGGGCATAATATATTTAATTAATTTTAGTTCCTTGAGTGACACAGATCCATGTAATAACCTGGAAAAATTTCGAATATTTTTAGGGGGAAATCAAAGAGAGTTAGCTCGCCAGAAAAATCAGAAGAAACAGAATGAACAAAATAAAAAGAAAGGGCAACAAGCGAAAGATTCAAACAAAGGACTAACCTTGGAGCAGCGCAAGCAGAGGTATAATTAAAAACCTGATATTTTCATTATGAAAGTAGTCATTCGAAAGTCAATTTTGTGATGTTAAGAGTCTAACAAAAAGTTGGGTTATGGAGTGAAATATAAAGTATTTTGAGTTGTCAATCGTGTAATTTTAAGTGAAATTTTGAAACATTTTTCACAGAGATGCTGATTTGATGCGTCAGAAACAAATGAAGGCTCAGAATAAAGAAAACAATTCATCTGCCACGTAAAGGCAAGCACATTGACTTCTTGCATTATGAATTTTGTTGTTTACTAACAAAATGGCAGGGTCTTTTCAATACAACATAACTGGTGACATGAACTATTGTGAAATTTGTTGGATAGTGAAGGCAGTAGCACATGACTTCACTAACATCAAAGTAAATTCCGATTCAAAAATTAACTGTAGCCCCCCTCCCTTTGGCCTAGAGTCTGGGGAAAGGCAAATAATCTGCTGTAGATATTGTGGCTTTCATTGTTGAAAAAGATGTAACAGGATAAATCTGAAATAAAGTTATTCATTCAAATAGGTTTTTGTTGTAAAGCACAACTAGATTAGTAAGCTACGTGGAGATTTTCCCTCTCCATTACCAAACACATTTCATTATGCAGGAACTGCCATTATTTCCTCGGTACTGAAGTGTTATTTGTACTGGTGTTTAAATTTTGTAATATTGTGTGAATATCTTAATAAATGTATTTTATTTGAAATAAGACTTTTGTATGTTTGAAGGAACTGAAGGTCAAATTTTTCTCAAATCCATTGCTGTTTGCCTGTACTCCCCTTCACTGAGTGTTATGCATGGATTGTTTGTGACTGGGCTATATTAGAAGTGACCTTCATGTTTCCTAATGTATTGTGAAAGGTAATGGCATTCACTTTCCCTTTTATCTTGAGCAAGAGTTTGTGTAACGTGTTATGAATGTTCATTGATTCATAACTGTAGTGTGAAAACGTTTCTGAGCAGGAGAGAACTGACACGTGCGAGAATGCCTAGGATTCAGTAAAAATACAGCACCCAGTACAAGACCACTTTATTGCACCATTCCCATCTACAGTGGTTGCCTGAGCACAGCCTGACTATTGAATTTTTATTTTGAAATACAGTTGGCAAGGTTCAAGGCTCATGTCTTGCAACATTTACATGTGGAAGACAGTTATGTTGCAAGGAAACTACAATTATACATAGAGAAGTTTAACTAAAATACTTTTAAGCTGCATATTTATTCAGGTATGTCACATGCAATACACAAGTGATAACTTCTTTCAAATTTGTAAAATGCAGGGAAAGCTTTGGAGAACTTGCAGACAATATAGCAAGTAGTGAAGGTGGGAGGTGAAAGGTGCAGTAATCCTGTTTGAGGATGGATCGTTTGGTAATTTGTCAAGCACTTAACAATACTAAGAAATGGACAGATGGAAAAATATCATAAATGCTCACCCTTCATCTCCCATCTAATTTATCTAATATACCTATAAAACTTGAAACATGCTTCTAATTTGTTGTAATCACATTATTTAACATTTTAAAACTTGAATTCAACTACATTTCACAGTCGATATCTGAATCCTACAGACATGGATTGGATTCCAATATTATTGCCATTATTTTCGTATACATTGTTTAAGGCAAGATGAATTCTTAGGGAGTTAGGTTGCTAGGTGATAACTACATGGAACGTCTATACAGAGCAGGCCATAGTTATTTGGCGAGCACCAATGCTTTTGGGAGGAAAATGACCAACTGAATGAAAGAATTCTAAACTATTTAACTAGCAAGGAATGTTATGAGAAAAATAGTGGTTTCTGAACAGTTACTAGTGAGTTTTTAAGCTTTTCATCTTCAGAAGCAACAAAATGAGGCAAAAGGCATTAAGAAATTATGTATTACTTATTCTACTACAATGTCTTATTTTTATAGATATCTTTATGTAACATATGAAATTGGTCATTCCTTTTTAATTATCTGATTTTTATTACTAGTGAAATGTAATTTATGAAATGGACTTCTAATTAACACTAAGGTAGATGACACCTTTCACACTTACATGTAGAATTTATTTTGCTATTAAAATTGAGCTAATCCAACTTGTCTAGCCTGTAAATGCAATTACACAGATCTGACAGAAATAAAGTAAGTGTTGGAAATACATTCTTAGATTGAGAATAGTCGAGATCAAACTCTTCCTTAAATAACAACAATCTCACTTTTACAGTTACAGGTTATATATAGTGACAACAATGAGACTAACAGCTTCCACAACACTTTCACTGATGTATTTTCAGGTATATAAAACTTCTAAAAACTGACAAAACTTCACAATCCCTAAACAGAATAGAACAACAAATTGTAAAACACTTAAAAGAAACAACACCTACATCATAAAGTTGACGGAATTAGGAGCTTTAAGCTCTAGCAAGATCTTATAATGAGTATCATATGCGCTAGCACAGTAACATAAGTTCAAGCAGCCCGTTTAATTTTAGGCTGAATGCTACAATAAATTCACAAAGGTGTTCCTTAATATAATATAAAATATTGATTCAACTATAAAGCTTACTGTGGTCCTACTTATTAAAAAACATTCTAGTTATGCACTGACACAGACAGGGACATAACTTTGTCTGCCCACTTTTCTAGTTGCAACTAGATTGAACCCTTGCTTTTATGAATATAAAATTCTCCTATACTATCATTACCATCATATTAAAACTATTTGTGGCAAGAAGTGCAAGTGAATACTGCTGAAATTAGAGAATGTACACTACTCTTCATGTTCTCAGTCAAAGTCTTGTAATGCATTGTAGTACATTGCAGATAATTATGTACTACGACAGTTCACGTAAAAGAAATCCATGGGTATGTATAATGAAACCCTTAACCCTTCCCCTACTCAAAACGAAACTGTAAGGCTATTCTATAGCTAGAGAATGCAAAGTGGCTCATTTTAAAAAGTGGATGAAATGGAATTTACACACCAGGCCCTGTTGAATTAGAAAGAATCAATTGTTCTGAATTTCTTTTTGATATTAAAACGTTTAAGCTTGTTTTTTAAATACAATTTTTGGCTGCGGTTCTTTGGAAAATTCCATTCAAACTATTTTGAAACGCATAGAAGATGCTAGTTTTTAACAGGTCTGGTTCACAATTTCCATTTCAGTCACTTATTTGCATGTATTACAGGGCTACAGATTAAGGGAGCAGATGCTGCAGGGGGAAGAGCACTGGTGGTGTGGTATGTGACTCTCTGAAGCCATGTGCCCGTTGTTGCTGCTCTTGCGCCCGGTGCCGCCTTGCTCCAGAAGCAGCCTGTGGTGCAACATTTCTCCAACATAGACATTGTTAAATGCTAACCAAGGGGATGTGGGCCACACAGACCCTGTGGGTAGAAGCTCTCCTGAGGCTCCGGAGGAGGATGGACCGGGTCCCATGTGGCCCCCAGGGAGGGCTTGTGGTGGCTGCTGCTGGAGCTGTTGCTGCTGCTGCTGTGTGGGTGGCGGCGGAGGAGGAGGCTGCACGTTCGGTGATCGCCCGATTCCCCCTCTTCGCCCTCCTGCTCCACCTGCAGCCCCACCCTCCACTCACATCACCTGCAATTGATGGCATGTCCTTGAGCTTTGGAGTTAAGACATCTTTTTTACAGAAAGAAGTGAATTTTCTACTAAATGTGGTTATTGGTGTCATGTTTCTCATTTGATATTACTGGTTTTGTCTCTGAAAAATATTTTCTATCTGTCTAACAAATTCTATTGCAGAAACAACATTTTTGTTCTGTTGTATTTCTTATATTGAAATATTATTAAGATCTATTGTTGTTTCTTATAAGACTTCCTTTCTCGTTTTTAATTAATTTGGCAAAATTACTCATTGCCAAAATTTCAAAGTTTTGATTGATCTAGGGAGACCGATGTGCCAAATTTGCCACATTGTCTTTCATGAACTTCCATGAATTACAACCAGATGATAACTGAAGTGGGTAATCTAACATACCGGTTATTCTTGAATTTCGCTTCACTATATGAAGGCGTTCAGTTGTAACGAACAGTAACAGACTTTTCACTCTTGCAGGAAAATGCAATGTGAAATGCATGGCTTTCCATGTAATGAGGCGCACAAGCTGTTTGTTGCGGGATTTTGAAATGACTTGATATAGACTGCACTACTCTCTCTTGTTTATAAACGTCAGTAATAACAATTTTGTTCAAAAAATGTATCTGACATTACAATGAATTACAATGCACTTCAAGGAAGTTATGACAAAAACAATATTAAGGCACTGCCAATACTGTCAAGAACTAGCAGACAAAGATTTTTCCTTAAACAGGTAGTAATTTTCTAAATGTTTCATAGAATAGTAAAAACTGATTATTCGATACAAGGTTAGTAGCTTCATAAATATAAAAAAATAGTTTTTCCCAAATAGAATTTTGATTTTGTTCCATTATTTAAAATCCAAGTTTTAATTCCTTATTATGAAAACAGGGAGAAAGGAGAGAATAAATAAATTGGGTTTTTGGAGTACTAAAAAGATGTTTGGAAATGTAGCATTACACACCTGCAAAATCTGACTGGCTTCAAAAGCGGTACCGGGCAACAGAATAACAGGACTGGATACATGCCCCGATTCCACACAGACCATGTTGGGAAATTCATCATCGCCAAAGTCTGAGATTTCTTTTGCCTTTTCAATCCATGGATTCCACACAACTATTAGCAATGGAAAAAAATATGTCAGTGTGAAGGTAGATGTAAGGTATCGTAACAGATAATTTTACAAACCTACCTGTATCTGGAAAGTTGTATTTCTGTATTCTCATTTTTCGACCTGAAACTACATTTGTTATAATGTGTTCCTGTGGAGTGTTTTGGTATAAACGATCTGTCCATTCAGAAATAGTAACAACATCTCTACCTTCTTGAAAAACAGTGCCATCTCGAGACTGCAAATAAACAATTGCACATATTCATTACATTAACATTTTTACCCACATTTTAATCACATTTAGTATGAACAGGAAAAAAAAGCAACATCACCAAGACTTATGGTGAATATGAATTTAGAGTAAATAAACATCATAATATACAAAGTATGCACTAAACATAATATGAACAGTAATGGTAATTTGGATGTTAGGATTGAAAAAATAATTTAGTGTCATAAGTTATTAGATAAAAATAAATTAGTTGCCCGTTTTTAAATATTTCTTTTTTTATTTTTAGAATTTCAAAATATTTCCATTACACTGATCTTCAAAAATAAACATGTTTTCATTCACAAGAATAAAGTAACAGATTCTTGATGTGTTTTTCATACTAAATTTAAATATAATTTCAGTTTTCCCCCATCAGGCAAGGTTTTTTTTGCGATAGTCATTTGAACTTTTTATAATTTTTAATGAAATCACTCTTCATGGTCTGACAGTAGACTGTCAACATATTAGAACTTCACTTGCCTCGGTACCCGTTTCCCATTGTAAAAATTTACTGATGAAAACTCTCACCCGACGCATTGCTAACAGCCCCAAGTTTTTCCGAGAGGAAGTCAAAGTAAGTCTAAAAAGTGAATTTTCGTAGACATGTTACAACTCAAAACATTATAAAAAAATGCAATCAACTACATTCAATATTATTCTGCTTTAGCCTCTATGGGTAAGGAAATTACAATACAAATTTCTGAAACACATACAAGCTGCTTTTTCCAGTAGTTTTTCAAAACATTCATCAGCCATTAATAACAGAATATTTTAGAACCATAAATGCTATATTTCAATTAGGAAACTAGCTTTGTGAAATTTTGATTTCAAGAATCCATCAGAGATCATTTATCCATAGCTTTTATGAAATTGTTCAATCCTCTTAATTAAATATGTAATGGAGATATATATTTTCAGGATTTGCTAAATGGACATGAGACAACTTTTTCTGGTCAGGGATACGAGGTTCCTTGAATTTAATATTTGTCAAACAGAAATAACAATTGCTTAGATTAGTGGTTTTTAAACTTTTTGCCGTGTCTTCCTTCAGGTAACAAATTCTGCACACGCCTCTCATTACAATTAAATTCTAAATAACAGCTAAATATCTCATTCTGGAGATTCATTCTTAATCTATATTTTGTCTTAATTATGGTCATGGCTGAAAATCTGAAGTTCTCGTGCCTCCCCTCTGAAACTGTCATACACCCCTGGGTAGGCGTACCTCACAGTTTGAATAACACTAACTTAGATAATCCTTTGTATCCCTCCAATTTATAGGAATATATATACAAAGATAATAAGAGTGAGATAATAAAAGATTGTTATGTGTATAGTTTATAGTCGGATTATGAGGTAGGGACAGAGAAGGAAAATACACTTCAGTCTCTGAATGGAACGAGGTGAAAGGAAAAGATGAATTATGTTTAAAGGGAGCTTTTACCAAACAACATTGTAATATATAGAAATTACATTGTTAATATAAAACTACAATGAAACAATGTTATTTGGCTAAGCACCATGATAGATTTACTTTTCCTCATTTAGTTGGGTGTGCTACTGAAACGCACAGTGGATTGAACCAATGGATTATTACCTTATCGATGAACGTACACCCGTGTAGCCCCGTGATTTGGCAGCGTCGGACATCAGGAACCTTAAAATATGTATGAAGCAGCAAGTTGAAGCTGAAGGTGAGGTCTTTACTTGGGTTGTACACACCTATATTGAAATGCAGTTCCTTTTCACGTAGAATCAACCTGTATGTAAGCCGAAACCTGTGGGGGGAGAAACAAGATTGTTAGTGAACGAATACTAATGATTGATGGAATGGAGAGTAAAATATCATGTGTCGTACGGATAATTCCACATGGATCGCGTGAATTCGCTATCCATAATAGAAAATATAGCTTCGACATCGCCGCTAGGGAGACGTTCTGGTGCCTTCTCCAAATTCCAGCGTACGATCCGGGCAAAGCCATGCTGAGGACCGAACGTCCACGGTCCAAATTGAGCTGAGGTTTGAAAATCATACATTAGACATGAAATTAATGCAGAAAACAAAACATAATTTTTTTTAATACTCACGGAAAACAAATGGGATACCTCCCCGAATTGGTTTCTTGCCATCAAAGATTGCTTGTTTACTGAAATATAATAGAAAATTAATAAGGATGATATTACATTTGTTGAAGTGGAAGGTGACAGTCTCCCGACTTTTGCCACACACACGAGACTGATAATGACGACAAGTCGTTGAAAGCCGACTCTCTAAATAAATATATTAAGTTGACGGAGATGACTTCCATTATTTCATAACATAATTACGTCTACAAAACATCAGAATTACCACAATTCGGAAATAGTATTTTAAAATAGCCCGTGTTTCACGCAAAATTATCTGAAAACTACTTTTATTTTAGAAATATTGTACATCACCTTATTATAAAAGCAGTCTGAAAAACAGACTTCATTCAGAAAAAAAAAACTATCTTCAATATTGTAGTTATAGGAACTTTTGTAATTTATGAAAAATCACACAGAAAACAAGACCCATGTCATTTTTTTAAAGGGTTATCTACGCTATCCGAGAACAGTTCAATAATAATAATAATAATAATAATAATAATAATAATAATAATAATAATAATAATAATAAACTGGAGCAATTTTTCAGAAAAAAATTGAAAATGTCCTTGAGGTTTCATGCAAAGTACCTTCCAAAATTAAAACATCGGTTCCTAATTCAAGGGACCGCAACATCAGTCAAATCTATAGAAGAACATCAATTTCGATGAAAATACTGCTCATGTTTTAGCCGTTTTGTAATCAAAGAATGATAAAACTTGGATTACGACTATGCAACGTAATTAATTATCCACTTTTTGAATATTCCCTTATTTCTGTCGACTGTCGCTGCAGTATTATGTATATTTCTCTATACTAAGAATGAAGTTGTGAGAAAGTAACTGGTAATTTCAGAAAGGCACAGACTTTCTCGTACTAGCTGGTTTTTAATACTTTTAGTATGGATTATGGACTAGTTTTTAGGTTTTACCTCTCCCGCGTCTCGGAAGCTATCTATTGCCGCCTAAAGGACATTTTTTTTTACTTCATCAAATTTTCTGCCAGTAATGGTAGAACTACGAAAAGACTTCTAAATATTGTACAAGAGCAAAATCTGCTCATACAAGCACACTTTCATTTAAAAATTTGGAGCCACTTTGGAGAAAATGTTGTTTGAGCCTTTCTGAAAATACGGAAATTTGAGCGTATTCTCACAGAAAACTTGAGTTTTCATAATTTTAATTCGAAATAATTTGAAGCCCTTACTACACTGAGAAAATGTTAAAGCGTTTCTGTAAACGCGAAATTAGAAATTATTTTCCACAGAAAACTTTTGGGATTCTGAGAAACTCCATTGAAAATCATTTGAAACACATCGACTCACAAATGCAATAACGTACACAAATCGCCGGTTATACACACACACACATACACTTACTAGTGGACCAGGCGATGTAATACACTTCACACGCTACTGGTCACGGGATTGTTAACAGTTTTACGTTATGCTCTGCAAAAATTCTATAGGTATGGGTTTGTTCTATGTAGTGGTTTGGACATGAAGTATCCCATTGTTAAAACGTTTTCCCGTTAAAACATAGGGCATGCGTTCGCTATGAGAATATCTTGGAGAAATTTGATTTACTTGTCCGAGATTCAAGTAATAATTCAGGCAGATATTTCACAATCGTGGGGGCAGAATACTTGCATGCAGTTAAGATGCGTTTAATATTTTACTGTGCGGCGGGTGGCGTAGAGTTCAGGGGTGCTTGAGTCGTCACAAACCAATAAATCATCAACAATATCCCCACTTATACGAGTTAATTCAAACCACTCTTTAAACTCTTTCATTACTAATAAGAACAAAGTGAAAAATTCAGAGAAATTGGTCGAGTAGTTTTTGCGACTATGGGCGACACACACACGCACTCATTTCAGCCATAACTTGAACCAGTGGTGCTAAAACAGCCCGACCTGTCTCGCCCGTATTTTCACGCAAAATTGCGCGAAAAATACTCAGTTTCGAAAAAATTGTACATGACATTATTTCAAAATACATCTTTAAGAAACATTTTATTAAGGGAAAAATCTATCTTAATAATTGTAGTTGTACTCGTAGGAAGACACCGCACATTATTTATTTTTGCAATTTTCGAAAAATCAGGGTTTTCAACGAAAATGAGACTTGCAACATTCTATTAATCGTCCTTCACACTATCCCCCAACAATATTTAATAAAAAACGATGGAGCCATCTATAAAAAAAAGTCTCAGGGGCTAAATGTAAAGGACCCCCTCCCCCAAAAAAGAGTTAAAATATCGGCTTCAAATTCAAGATCGATTGGGCAATATCAATTTTGGAGAAAATCGGCCGAACACTTTAGCCGCTAGCGTTGTTTACAGGCGGACAGACAGACGTTTGGCCATCATTTGAATGTTGGGTAACAAGCACACACCAAACGTGGATTCTGGCTTCAGTACGTGATATATGATTCCCCTCCCTAAATTTAGCAACTTTATTTATCCACTTTTGCGTTACCAGGACACTGTAATACAAGTTTTTCTGCCGAAAATTCGGCGTTTTTTCTCGCTGCATTACATAACCCTTCTACTGCGCACGCGGTAGCAAGAAAGTTCAAACAAATTCCAACGAAGCCCCTACGATGTATAACTGCAATTGTTTCAATAATCAGAAATATTAGCTTTTTCTTATTTCTAGAAATGAATGACACATGAATAAATCTCAACTGTTACAGTATTTGCATCTCATTATACAGATGAGCAAGGTTAATTTCACACGTCAATTAAACATCAGGAATTGAAGGACATGCCATATGCATTCATACTATATAGTACGTACCTACGGTATCATTACGTAATGTCCATCTTATGAATGTATTCTTTATTACCTTTACAGACACTGAGGTGACAAATGTGAAATTAACAGACTTGGAACGCGGAATGGTAGTTGGAGCTAGACGCATTCCATTTCAATATTCCGAGATCCACACACTGTGCCGAGAATACCTCATTTCAGTCATTGCCTCTCCCCACGGACAACGCAGCGGCCGACGGCTTTCAGATAATGACCGTCATCAGCGGCGTTTGCGAAGAGTTGTCAGTGATAACAGGCAAATAACACTGCGCAAAATAACCGCAGAAATTAATGTAACATTTATACGTACAATGTTCCATTCATGTAAAAATTAAAGGACAACTAGGAGCCATTTTTGAGAAAATATTGAATGTATTATTCCTTTCTTGCCTACTACGTAATAACGTAAAGAAAAATTATTGTAATGCTGCAGGGGAAAACGGACATCTTTCGGCAGAAAGCTCTTATTGTGGACTCTTGAAGACCAAAAAATGGGCACTTCTTGCTTCTCAATGTTCTAAATTACTTCCTTTAATACACTGTGAAGTCAGAGGCAATGTTTTTTAGATCCTTAATAACGAAAAATTGACGTAAAAATGTTCGTCAGTCTGTCCATGAACAGCGCTAGCGGCTAAACCGTAGGTACGATTTTCACCCAAATTGATAGTCGCCGATCAATTTGACAGATTTCTTGTCCCCTTGAATTTGAAATTGATGTTTTGATATTCAGGGTTTCTTTACACGAGGAATGATACTTTCAAGATTTACCATTTCCAAGTGTTACCATATTTTCCTTTTCTCTCGAGCAGAGCAAAGTACGCACATGAAAATAACGTCGGTCCATCTTCCGTTGCATTCTGAATTTTTGAAAAGTGCAAACGTTTTTAATTTTTTTGGTGCCTTCATGCAAGAACAATATTGAAGATAGATTTTTTTCCCTTTTCAATTAAATCTATTCAAATCTGCTAAATGAGGCTTGTACATTCCGTGACCATTACAAATAATTCGAGAAAGTAAGATTTGTTCCGACTTCAAAATTATGTTAAAACTACTTTTTTTCGTAAAAAGCTTGCTAATGTTGACCACACGCGGTCGGACAGATAAACGATTTGCCGTAAACCTATTTTTCAGGAACACTGACCCTCAAAACGTTTTTTTATTGGTTAGTGACTCCGGGCACGTCAACTGCTAATGGCATTAATCCTGCCAGTGTAGTGCTTATTTTAATCGCGAGAGATGTCGAGAGCCGTCTGACCTACGTCCGCTTGTGGGGATTTCCTCTAACCAGGTTTTTCCCCACCTGCGTGGTATGGCTCCAGTCGGAACAAACTGTAACCTCTCGACTGATCTCCCAACATGTGCGGTAGTGGAATGCGTGTGAGTAAGTGTGCGTAAGTAAGGGACGAAGAAAGAACACGGAAGAGGAAGGAAAGATCGCGCGCGGTCCATGGTCCGTTTAAGGTAGTACTGCTCCGGCATTCGCCTCGTGTGGAATAGAGAAACCACAAAAAAACTATCGAGCAGAGCTGCTGGCGGCTTGAATATTTTTTCTAGACAGCAGCTGATTTCCACCTAACTGTCTAGATAGTGTCGAAACGCATGCCACTGTCGGAACTCGAACCCTAGGACCTCCCGGCCAGAGGCATTGCAGTGACATCAGTTGATCTACAAAACTTGGTTTCTGACTACAGGTGTTGAAGAAAGTAATTTACTACATACGTGAACAATATTTATCCATCTCGATATACATGTTTTTCCCACAATACAAGTTTTTCTGACGAAAAATCGCCACTTTCCGTTGCATTAAAATACGTTGCAAAAAAATAAAAAGTAAAAATCTTTATCATAAAGAGAAAAAAGGTCCAAACAATTTTTAACTCTTCCAATTTTTGGAATTTGAAAGCTTTGAATGAATCTCAGACCCATTTTTAAAAGAGCACTTTGTGAGCAAATTTAAAGATATAAATTTTTGGAAAACATTTTGAGAAAATTTACGAGTGGATTCGTGAAACTATTCACAAAAAATTTAGGGCGGTAGATAAAAGAATACATTATAAAAGATCCAACACATTTCTTAAAATTTAGCTAATCCTAAATAAAATGTAGAATATTTTTGTAGAAGTACTCAATAATTAACAAGATGGTCTTTCATGTAATATGTATTTCTATTGTAGATTCTTAGGTTTTGTATAAAAAAAAACACATC